TACCGGAGCGAATCCCGCGGTGCGAATTGCAAGAGTCTCTTCTACGCGTTTGCGTAACAGGCTTATGCACAAAGCTGCACCAGGCCCTGCCGAGCGCAGTTATACCGCGTGGCAGAATGTGAAGGCAAAATGTGAATGTTTCGTTGCTGCAGTGCTGTTTCACAACAGTGTTGAGAAGGTCTAAAAGGTGGGTCATCGGTGCGGACTTGTGCCTTGCGGCATGTTGCCGTTGTGTGCCACAAGGCGTTAAGGCTGGCATGTGAGTAAGGTGCGCTCAGAAACGTGACAAAGTCAAAATTCTAGGTCTGACGTCCTGGAGCCACAGATTCGTCCTTCAGGGCTCAGGATTTGGAGCCTGCAGGCGACCCGGGCTTACGGCAGAAGAAGGCCATTAGTCCCAATACAATTAAATATAATATGACGTCGGCGTATTTAGAGGACAGGCTCATGAACAGAAGAAGCTAGGTTAAATAAATGAGTTAGGAAAGCAAGGGTCGCGACGCCCTGGACAAGGTGCAAATGCGGGCAGGCAGAAGGCTAAGAATAGATGCTGTGGCAGTCTTTCTTTTGTATTCTTGTGTGTCGAGGTTAGAGCCAAAACTGCAATTCCACCTTTTTTAACAAGGAGGCCGTGTGTGCCTCTTGCTGCAGTCCTTTTGGCGGACTCCGGTACATGGCAGGCTTTTGAGTATACACATTAGCTTCACTAGATATTCCGCAACTTGTATAGTTGCGTTCTAAAAAACTGTGAATCCATGTGCAGCGTTTCTTACCTGAAGGTTCTAAACGAGGTACGCTTGCGATCAGCATGTGCGTTTTTGGCATGTACCGCAGTGCTTTTGACTATCCCCCGCTGTACCATTGTGTTTCACAGCATCGAAATCGCATCGTGAGTTTTAGTGTCGCACACTTGTGCGATTCTGTTGACCCTGGCTAGCACAGTTACCCGTAGTTACAAGCTGAGCCTGATGCCAAGCTGCACTGCTGTTGGGGTGCCTATCACTAGAGCAAATCCCGTGGTGCGCGTTAGAAGGATTCCTTGTAAGCACTTCCCTACGTTAGCTGCTGTCTAGAAGGTCGGCATAGGGGGTTTCATCCGGCCAGAAATAAACGCTGCGCTGCAGCTTCTTTTGGCATGCCTCCACACCAGGCTCTGTCGCTCGCGTGTATCCCGGTTTGACGTACGCAAGTGTTTTGCTGCTGCAGTGCTCGTTCAAAATAGTTCTGAGAAGGTCCAAAAGGTGGGTCATCAATGCGCACTTGTGGAGTGCCGCATGTCGCAGTTGTTTTACACAAGGCGTTAAGGTCGTTATGTGAGCCAGCTGCGCTTAGAAAATGAGCAAAGTGAAAATTCTAGTGCTTACTTCAAGGAGCTCAATATTCATCTTTAACGACTTGGAAATCGGATTCTGCAGGGGAATCCAACATAGAGCGGAAGGATTTTAGACGCTGCAAGCATGAGTTCCTGGACAAGGTGCGTGTGCGGGCAGATAGTAGGTCAAGAATGGATATTGTGGCAGACTCGTTGTTTGATTCTTTTGTGATAACTTTGGAGTTAAAAATACAATTTCATTTCTCTTCACCTGGCAGCTCTGTCTTGTCGCCATATGCGAAGATGTTTATTTGGTGGCGATAGCTGACTCTCGTATTTGTGGAGGGCGCTTGCAGCCGTGATGCCGTATTGCCCTTACAGTGCCTGCTACCCATGGCAAACGGCGTGGAGCTCATGGAAAATGATTTCTCCACCAATCATCGGCTGCGTAGCTATTGCCTCTCCGAAAGGAATTTGGAGGCTCAGCTTAGCGACAAGCGCTGCGACAACTTTGTGCTCATCGCAGCGTCTGCTGATGTCTCGCTCGCCTGTACTATATCGCAGTATGTTAATGCTTTCTTTTAGCCTTGTCGTCGTAGAATTCTGCTAAGCAGTTCCAACACACGACGAATGGATATTTAGAAATATCCTGCAGTTTGCAGCAACAGCGGTTTCAGATACGTCAATTAGGCACCGTGTGCAAAGTAGTTCTGTTGCAACCCGGACAAGCCACAGTTCTCTTGGCGGACTCTTGAGACATAACATCGTTACACACCAAGCTTTTGGGTATGCGTTTTAGCTTTACTAAAGAACGTGCAGCGTACGCTGCTACGCTTTATCACATTTTGTGAATCCATGCGCAGCGTTCCTCACTTGACGGTTCTGAAAAACGTACCGGCGCTATCAGCCTGTGCGTGCTCCCCATGTGCCGCAACGCACGGGTCTGCTCAAAGCATTTCCGTAGCCTAGCTGCTGTCAGCAAGGTCGGCATAGGCGGGTTCGTCCGGCCCAAAATAGACGCTGCGCTGCGACTTCTTTTGGCAGGCTTGTGCCCAAAGCTGCGCCAGGTTCCGTCACGCGCGGTTATGGCGAATGGCAGAGTGTGAAGGCAAAACGTGAATGTTTCGCCGCTGCAATGCTGTTTCACAATGGTGCTGAGAAGGTCCAAAAGTTTGGTCATCGATGAGGGCTTGTGTCCTGTGGCATGTTGCAGTTGTTTTACACAAGACGGAAGTGCCGGGCAGTCATGTTCGTCAGTGGTGCTGAGAAGATGAGAAATGTGAAAATCGTAGGTCTGACGGCTTGGAGCTAAAGATTCGTCTTTGAGAGATTAAAATTTCATAAGTC